ATTTTTTGTATAGCAAATGAATATTGTATGCAAGTGCTTTTTAGTCAAATTATTTATATTTATGAAATAGACATTAATAATTAAAAAAGAGTAATTATTTATTTAGCAGCATTCAATGAATAAGAGTTTTACATTGTTCGAGTCTATTTTCTTCTTTAGTAATCATATTAATGCCAATAATTGTTTTCTAACCAGTTGTTGTTATAGCACCAGTATTAGTGTTAATAGTAAGAATCAGATTTACTGTTACACTACCTGCTGAATCGAAAGAATGTTGCAAAAATGAACCACTGCTAGAACCTAGAACGATAAAAACAGTTTATTAATAACTAAGAGAAAAATATTGTTTCATTTTTCACTTTGAACACCGACAGTACAACTAGCACCCGTGTCGTCTGCATTGTAATAGTGGATTTCAACAACACCAGGTGTAGCTTCAAAAAATTTAACTTGAAACTGATAATACCGAGTCGGTGATCCATACTGACTCGTATAATATTCGAATATAAGGTCACGATTCGGAGCAGTACCTTGAGTTGCATAATAAATACCTTGCCAAGTTTTGGCATAAATATAAAGATCATCCCAATATGGTAAAACTACGGTACCGAAAGAAGTACTAGGTAAATTTGTTTCCTTCCAATTATTCGAGCAACTGCTTAGACAGATAACCTATTCAAATTCATAGAAAATATATCACTTCAAGATTATTTTTTGTCAGTAAGAACTAGTTTCAAATACTAATGTTTAATGAGAAAAAGGAAAAAAAAATAATTGATACTTACACCATTAGTTGATAGTTGAACAAAATTAGTTGTCGTACTGTAAACTGTAATACTAAACGGAAGTGTTAAATTAAAGATGTCATCGTCAGATGATCCATTAATACCACCTGTCCAAATTGAAGTGTAACTGGTCAATTGAACAGCTGGTACTGTGCTACAGACACCAGCTGTACAGGTTGTGTATGATGCACTTGAACATACGGTTGAAACACTACCACAATTATTGAAATCAAGTAATAGATTTACACAAGTTCCAGATGATAGAGCATATGGCGAAACACAGCTGGCTATAATAAATTCAAATGAGAAACATGAGTTATTTGCTTTTGTTAAATGAATATTAGAATAACTAATATTAGAACAAAACCTGGAATTAGTGACTCCTTTATTATTTGCTTATCAAATATTTTCTATGATTCCTCTCATATAAACATGACTATATTGGAAAGATTGTACTTGTTTATTTCTTCTATTTACAATAGAGTTATGTATCAAGCAAGCACAACGATGATAATATGCAGTCGTTGGCACGGTTGTTATATGACGAAAGAAAATTTATATGAAGGCTATCCTAAGGAGTACGTTCAGGTAAAAAAAAGTCTCATATTGAGAAATGTTCTTCTTCTGTCGAAAATTGTTTTGTTTCATCGATCAATTATCCTCTTCTTGGAGATCCAGTAAAAGCCATTTTAGCAATTGTGATATTTGAACTTACTGTTTTTCTTGCTTTTTTTAAATTAAATAATAGCTCATTAAATTCCTATATCAAACATTGAAATGTATATATGGGCATCAAAACAAATAAAAATTATATATTGTATAAATAAAACATGAAAACCATCATTTAAAAGTCAAACAACCTTCACATGATTACTCCACGCAATAAGTATGTATTTATACAATCTTATCTTCACTAATTTCAACATCACGTTCACTTTCAATTGATATTATTACTCGCCGATTTTTTTCAAATTCTTTGGGTTCTGATGTATTTTTCTTAATAAATAAAACTTGAAAGTAAGAGTAAATCAAAAAAAAAACTATTATGATCAGTTACATTAGATCTACAAACAATAAAATTAATAAATCACCTGAAAATTGAAATGCAACAGAATCTTTAGAAAAGTCTAATAATGTTTCACAATATGTAAACTCAAAATCAAATTTTACTGAAACTAAGAATATTTTCGTTCTCACTTATATATTTCAAAAATCTGGTGAACAGCTAATTAAAAGACTCTAAAAGGTGTGAGTTCCGAATTGAAATTCGACTTTATCGTAAGTCTTGCTAATAAAAATAGATGATTAAACACAAACTATTTGAAAAATAAATTTAAAATTTCTATGTGTGAGTCTCCATATTAAAAACGGACTACGACAGATTTATAAAAGGAACACATAATGTTTCTATGTCGAATTAATACATGATAATTAATTTTATCTAAATATGTTAGTATTGAAAAAGTATAGATAAATGCTAAATAAAGATTGTATGAAGAAAATCAGAACTTTACAACTGATTATTCAATTTTCTTTCTTCTACATTAATCTTCTTTTAGTGTTAATCTTTTAAAATTATGTTTGCATTGCGTTACTTGTCAATTAAGATTGAAATCTATCGTATTCAACCTGAAGTACTTACTTGTTGCGAGAGTTGTAGCAGCAGTTGATGTGGCTAAAAGATTCAATTAAAAATTCAATTGTCGATAAAAAGAAAAAGGCGATGAAAGAAAAAAAAATTTCGAAAGCAATCCTTCTTTTGTCGAGTCACTTTATTTACTTGTTATACTTGGTTGCGTCAACACAAGAGGAAGAACAATGGCAACTCCAACCAAACACATAATTAATAACGTTAATTGAACAAGTATTACAGTTAATAGGACTTTGGTGTGTCTAATAAATAGAAAAAAAATCGTTGCTTTCATTTTTGAATAATAACAAAAAATGTTTATGGCAGTTTTGAACACATTTCAAAAATATTATTGTAGCAACAGCAGCTTTTCTTTTTTTTTTAAGAGATCTATAAAATTATATAAATTTGTACTCGACTTGAGTGTTTACGAATTCAACAGTAAGAATCTTTCTGAATCCAATGACTCCAATTTAACTGTAACAACCTAGGAGAATGACAATGGAGTTTTTCGAAAGAAAAATTATAATGATAGTGACATCATAGACTTCTCTTGTCTAGGGGCATGATATCTCAATGGTAGATTTCTAACCACAATGGACATCTCTGACAGAAAACAATAAATGATAAATCTGCATACTTATATTTACTAAAAAATGCTCGTAGATTATCCATACAACCATTCTTTGGTTGATATTTTGCTGATTGTTTTTTGTCTGGAACAATATTAATGGTCTCGATTTGTCCATCGGATTTCTTCACTGTAGTTGCATTTTGCTATAGATAAATCATAATTGAATTATTATACAATATGTTTTTAGATAGTTGGATATCAAACTTAATCAACTAGAATAATGTATTCAAAAGAAAAAAAGCAAAAAACTGAAAAACCTGAAGACACATGCATATCAAAATTTGTTAGAAAAAAATGATTCCAAATCAACAAATAAATTTTTGGAATTGTTAGTTGGTCTTAAACAAAAATTATCTACTTACTACTTCTGGAAAAACTATTGATTGAGAGTATAATGCAAGAGAACCTTGACTACTTGTCGGCATTTGTACAATAGTGAGCCTTGTATACACTAAAGAATTTATTCAGCTACGCCAAAAAAATAACTGAATTATAAAATCTTTTTCTCTGTTTTTTTCAATAACTTCTGTCAAAATGTCAACGATATTTATGTGTTAAAATTGCGTTTTCTTTTTTTCTTTCATTTGCATATTATATTTACTTATGCGACTTCAATGATGAAATTTAGAAATAAAACTATCAGTCGCACTTCTTATTTTTATTAAATTTTAAAAGAAAAACAATGGCTTTAAATAAAAAAAATCAGATTAAAACATTATATTTTCTGGTGTTATGATCTTTGAACATACAGTGTTTATTTTTTTTTTACAAAACAGTATATTTATAAGTAAACTGTCGATTTTGACTTACTAACATGAATGTGTCAAATAGTGTCAAACCCATCATCTTTCATGATCATCATCCTACGAACAAGATCAACAAACAAATGTTTTTATATGTTTAGAATGATCATTCCCTAAATGTATATTTGCAATAGCTTTCCATATATTGTATGTATTTGTTAATGAGTAGCACGATTAAATTTCATAAAAAGACCCTAGTAGAATATCATATCAGTTTTAGAATTAGGATAACAGTGCAGTATGATTAAAATTGTTAAAATCAATCAATGCACATGATGACTGCTCTCTTTTACCAATCGAGTGTTTTCTGAAACACGTCACACTAAAGAACAATAACTAATGAATGTATTACAAATCTCATATCTAACTTCTCTTTAGCCATTTCAGCAATTATTATCATGTGAATGACAAATAAGATTTGTTTGCTAATACAGTCACAATGTTACAAATATCGCTTAACCAATATCTGAAAATACTTATTATACTTGTGTTTCGATACAGTTACATTGAAGAATAAGATGGATGAAAAGAAAAGAGACTGTTGAAGCAGATATTTTCAATATCATAATATTACAGCTAACAAAGCAGTTACATTTGCTTGTATTTTACATACATAACGTCTCTTCAAATAGATGTTCAGTGTTAACTTATTTTGTAAAGTTTTTTTTCCCTTATGATTCATTTTATTTATTTATTACATATTATTCCGAGAATAAATAGAATAAAGAAAAAATTACATTTCTTTCACAATCTTTACTTCGGAATAAAATTGTTGTGTGCATTCGATCCAATGATGCGAAATCAATCTTACAAAATATAAAAGAATCATGTCATAATTTTGTTAATGATCTAAATTCGTCGATGAACAACACAAGTAGAATAAAATTCTCGAGCTATGGAAAGTTTTTTACGACTTAAGAGACAAACTGTTGTTTTCTGATTCTACCTCACAATAATCCTTACAAAAATTCAAAGAAATCAAGAATTAACGCGCACATAATATTTCTAAAATAAATAAATCATTTTACTTTAGTTTTTTTTTATGCATTCACTCAGTATTGTTCGGTTTGCTTTCTTTTAATTGATTTTCCTGTTGTAATCGATACAATAAATTTTCGAAAAAATTCAAGTTATTCTTCTGCTAATGATGTCTTCAAGTTTGTACAGAAGAGAACAATATTAATATAATTGTTCGATTTCTGTCAAAATATCGTTTGCTAGTAGTGACGTACTTTTTGGTTTCACATAGGGCCAAACACTAGGTGCCAAAACATTATTCATTGTATTATTTTGTTCTGTTAATGTCCAAAGAACTAATTGCTCAATTGTATCCATATCCAAGTACACCATCCGACGAATCCATAACTTAAACTTTCGATCATTACATTTTGAATAGCAATGACAGCACTTAATATATTCGGATGATGCTTTTTAAATGCTCCTGTTTCACCCATTAATATTGGTTTCACTGGAATCAACGCAGCACCTGCAAACTCTGGGTGTGGGTGTGTGTGAGTGTGAGTGTGGGTGTGGGTGTGGGTGTATGGGTGTCGGTGTGGGTGTGAGTAGGTGTGGGTGGGTCGATGTGGGTGTGGGTGTGTGGGTGAGGCTAGGTGTGGGTGTGGGTAGGTGTGGGTGTGAATGTGGATGAGTGTCGGCATCCTCTTCACCCACACTCACAACCCACCCACACCCCACCCACACACCAACACCCATACCCATACCCATACCCATACCCACACGCACACCTAGCCACACCCACACCCACACCCCACACCCACACACCCACACCCACACCCACACACCCACACCCACACCCACACCCACACCCACACGCCACACCCACACCCACACACACCCACACCCACACCCACACGCATCCACACCCACATCCACACCCCACACCCACAGCCACACCCACTCACACCCACACCCACACACATCCACACCCACACCCACATCCACACCCCACACCCACAGCCACACCAAGAAAATAAATAAAAGATGTCTTGCGGTGAACAACATAAACTATCGATTTGTAATAAAATGTTTTATTTTGTGTTGTTTCAACTTCGATAACTTGAAAAAAACATATAAGTTGATTCGATAACTTGAAAAAAACATAAGTTGAATTCGTTTGCTTGAATACAATGTATTGTATCATATATA